TATATCAGAATATATAATAATAATAATAAATTGATTATTAATAGGGTCAAAGTGGTACTTATGAAATTTAATTTCATAGAAAGACACGTAAAATGATAATTTAATTAATTAATAATGTATTAATAATGTTACTGATTGATTGTCTGGTAGTTAATGAATATTCATTAGTTTTTAACCCTTTATCAACACCATGAACCAGAAAATGGATCAATTGGTATACCATCCTAATTTAAAAAATAATAATAATAATAATAAGTATTTAATGATGGGTGGGTAACTTCTATTTTAAAGGTGCACATTTTAACTCTTTTAATTAACATGTACATGTAATACAATGTATGTTGTATTACCAGAAATTCATTAACTTAAGTGACATGAACATTTCCTAATATACCCTCCCTTATAAGGTAGTGCCATGTGTATACATGTACTGGAGTGTCTCCATTATAATGAACCAGTACTGTAATGTATTAATCATTGATCATGTGTAATTACTATTATTGTTGTTATTATTATTGTTATTATCATTGTAGTTGTTATTGTTAATGTATTGTATTATGAATAGTTATTATTAAGTGTATAGTTATTATCAAGTGTTAAATTATTAGTAATTATTGTTATCACTATTATATATACAACGCATTGTCGACTTTTTATTCATGCAATTGTAATTATAACAACTCTTCAACTGCCAAAGAACCCTGCCGTGTAGCTGCCTCAAATACTCCCAGTCCCAGAGATAACAGATATAACAAGTACCTAGGAAAAGGACTTGACATTGTTTAGCTAATTCTTCACCTCCTCCAGTGGAAAATACATTAGTACATTCCTAATGAGAGGAGAGAGAGGAGGGGAGGGAGAGAGAGAGAGAGGGAGGGAGAGAGAAAGAGAGAGGGAGAGAGACTAATGAAGAACTAGCAATGAGGAATAGAACAATAGGGTATGTACATAAGAGTAAATCCTTATATGCTGTACTGTCTTATGTACATATAGTCTATGATGTAGAATACTATTGACAACTTAAATTAAGCTTATGACACAAATTTGATTTATTGATGTAGTAATTTTATGTAAATTGTACATTCTTATTATTGGTCTAAAGTTGACATTGCTTAGTAGACAATTTTACTATTATAGCATCACACGTATAGTGCTATAGCATGAGGCAATCATGCCACTAACACCAGTCACAATCTATAAACTACTAGATTGTGACAGATATAGACCATAGTGATAGACCTACTGACCACCAATCTGTGTGAAAACAATAAACAAATCTAACATAAACTTGCACATGCTATTACACTTGCTGCATCTGCTGTTGATGACTGCACAGTATAATGTGCACATGCTTGAATGCTTGACTTGTTTTGTTTACTTTTAAAATGTTGCCATACATTGCTTGAAATGCAATTATATTCAGATAGTACATGAGACAGTGAACTCTTAAAATGATTTCAGCTCTAGCACTGTCCATTGTCTTCTTGTTGAGTGTCAGTGAAGTTATTAGTCAGTGTCCACCTTCCTCAGGTAAGACACTGGATGT